AACCATAAACCACAGCCCCAGGGCGCGCGGGCGCCGGCGGGAGCGCGCCCGCCCCACCCCCTCCTCCCGGTCCCGTCCCTCTCCTCGCCCTCATCTTAGGGTTTGAGGTTTTTTTTGGCTGGCCCCTGCGGCGTGGGGAGACTCACCTCCCCGCCATTCAAAATGGCGGTCGACCCAGCTTAACCCCGTCGTGTCCCGGCAGCGCTGCCTCTCCCGCCCCATCCGCGGCTCGGGATTCCGCAGCCTCACCCCCAGCCCGCGCGGCCGATCGCCGAATTACCGAGACCGTCCCTCCCTGCCTCCTCCCTCGCCACCGGGGGAGGCGACAGAAAGATTTCCCCCCGCTCCCACGCGCGCTCGCGCCCAGCCTGCCGAGCCCAACCGAAGGGGGGGGGGTGGCGCGTGTGTGTGTCGGGGAGTGACGGACACCTCCTCCGCTCGTTGAGCCCCTTTCCCCCCCCAATACATGGCCCATCCACCCCCCTCCCCGTTCCCCCAATGGTTGCATCCGTGACGACATCATCATGGCAACAGCAGCTGCAGCCCGGGGCCGGGGCGCCGCCGTCGCCGCCGCCGGGGCGTCCGCGGGGCACGAGCCCGCGCTGTCCCTGAGGGGCGCGCGGCCGCGCGGGCTGTAGGAGCGCGCGGGGGGCGCGCCGCCGCGCACGCGCCTAGAGCGGCGGCATCAGGCGGGGGGAGCGGAGACACAGACAAGGCGCGCGCGGGGCTGCGCGCGCTCTCGCGGGCGGGCGAGGAGCGGCAGGCGCGGGGAGTGTTGCGCTCGCGCGCGCGCTCGCTGCGGCGGCAGCGGCGGCGGGCGGGGGGAGCCGTGCGGGCTCCGCGCTCGCTCCGCGCTCGCTCGGTGCTGTGCTGGTGCCTCGGCGGCGGCGAACAAACATGTTCTCAGTGCGGATCGTGACTGCCGACTACTACATGGGCAGCCCGCTGCCCGGCCTGGACCCCTGCCAGTCCCGCTTCCGAGAGGCCCCGGCCAAACGGGTGCCCGTCGTGAGAGTCTTCGGCGCCACCCCGGCAGGTAAGGGATGACCCCCGCCGCCGCCACCGACGGGCGGGCGGGGACGTCCCCCCGCTGCGGCGCCGCGGGTCGCGCTGGCGCCGGCCCCGCCGCCGCCCACCCCGCTCCCGCTCTTTGTGGCTGGGNCGCCCGGCGCCGCCGCTGCGGCGCGTCTCACCTGCCAGCGGCGGCCGCGGCGACGGCAGGGCAGCGGCACGGAGCGGGGACCTGCCCGGGTGTCGCGCCGCGCCCGCCCGGTGGCGGTGGGGGCTGCGGGGCCGCCGGGGCTTTGTGCGGGGCTGCCCCGGGAGAGCGGCGCAGCTGTGCAAACACCGGCGCCGGCCCGTGCCGCCCTCGCTCCCGGTGCCCACCGCCGCTGTCCTGCCCTTCCCGGGAGCTCTTGCTGCGGGAGGGCGGGCGGACGAGGGGAAGCCGCTGCGCGCGGGCACAAGTGGGACTTGTGCGGCACTTGGGAAGTGGGGGCTCGCGGCGCGGATCGCGCGCGGCCGGAGGCAGCGGTGCTGCACTGCAGAGAGGAGCGTCCTGAGCGCCGGCCACATGTTGCCCCCCGAGACTCCCGAATGTCACATGCCGCTTCTTCGCCGCCTCTTCGCCTTGTGCTTACAGCCGTCCCACGTCTCGGATGTGCTTCTGACCAATACAAACAAATACGTTCTCGGAACAAATTTCTAACAGATTAAATACTTAGGAAAATAATTTAATATGTATTGTAGTTTGCTCATACGTTAGATATTAAATTGGAAAAACCCCTGGCTTTTGAGATATTAGACATTGTAAGCATCATTGCTTGTCATCTCTTTACATTTACACTGTGTAATGCTGACCTTGGGAATTAAGGTATTTTTGCATATTTTATTGACTGGCATGTTGAAAATTATCTATTCATGCACATACATTAAATCTTAGGCAAGACAAAAAACGTAATAAAAGAGCACAGCAGAGGTGTCTTTCCCTTCAGGCAGTTATTATAGTAGAGCAGCTTTGTATTTTTTGTTGGTTTGTTTTTTGGTTTTTGGTTTTTTGTTTTTTTATTAATCCAGAATTAGCTGTCTTCTCTGTTTAAGCACAGAGGAACGTGACATATTCAAGCTGTTGTGTTCTGATGCAACTAGAGCTCAAATTATTAAATGAATGAGTGGGATTAATAGACACAATATTGAAATAGTGGGACCTATTTTATTGTAGCTCTAATTCTGCATACAAAGGAGATATTATGTAATAATATTTATGTAATGGCAGGAGTAACTATTTCATGATTAAAAAATGTAGAGCCTGAGGTTGTTGGCAGGTAGCAGGATTTTTGTGCATGCGTGCGGTTAACTCATTAAGGCTTATTTTCTTTTAAGAAAATGTTTAGGCTATGCCATATCATGAATGTGGCATCATAAAGTAAACAGTGAAGTAGTTTAGTTGTCCAGCTATTAGGAATACGGTAGGAAATCCCTGGCTTCCCCAACCATAAACTTTAATGTCAGTTTGCATAATAGAAGTGTTTCTAATTTGTCTTCGTTAGCGAAAACAATTCACTAGAGTCTGCAAAAGCAATGTTATTTGTCTATATTTTTTTTTGAACTTTTAAATTTTTTTAATGTTTTGTACTTTTAGTAATGTTTGCTATTAAGCTTCATGAGCTTCTTACTGCATCTCTGCACTGTTTTGGGTTTTTTTTTCCTTTTTAGAAAAGCAGAGAAATGTAATTCTTGCTCTTCAAAGGTGTTGGACCTAAGCACTCATTGTCAGAAGTACTCTGATGGTGATTCTCAGGCTATTTCTTGAGAGCTGAAATTTAAAACGAAGTGTAATCACTTACATCTACACCGACATTTTCTGTGAGGAAAAAGAAATCGTGAAAACAACTTCTAGCTTACTGTCTAAAAGAATGGGATGTCCTTATTGTTTGGCTTACGGGCAGTGTGATGCTTTTCTTCGCTCGAGTTGGTCTGGGTGGGAGTAACCCTTTCTCACTGGGTTTAACGTGTGTGCCTTGCCTCCAGGAAAGGTGCTCAATTGCCTTGTCGCCTCCATGGTAGCAGCCTATTATGGCTGTATCGGCTGCTCCACTTCCAGCATGATTAACTGTGCACCACTCTTATGTGTTTATAGCTGTGTGCCCAAGCTGTGCTGGTAATTGGGAGTCAGGGTCAGAACAGACTCCAAATGTCACCTGCTGAGTGAACGGGGTGCGATTGGTATGTGGCAGTGCCTTATGCAGATGTTCAGAAAGCCAAACATCTGGCACTGCTGTATCATTATGTCCACCAGCAGCTAAGGACAGTGGTCCTGAAGGCACCCACCTGTGCTTTCTGCCCCATCTTGTGGAGATACTGCACTCAGGGAGGTGTGTGATTGACAGGGATTGCCAGTGTTACCTCTGAAGGCTTTTATGTAATCCAGTACTCAACAATTAATTTGTAAAGGTTTACTGGTACAGTCTATAAAATGAAAGTGGCTTGTGGTTGGGGGAGGAAAAAGCCAGACGTCTAATTAAAAGTAATGGAAGGATCAGCTTCTAGAATGGACTGTGCATAATAACATTTGACAACTTCTTTATGTCTTTTGAGGAAGAAATCTTGTTGTATTTGGTGAGGTTATGCAAATTCTGTCATGATGTCGTACATCCTTGCATAATAAGAGCTTGAAAGGTGAATAATCAAAATTTTGTTTAAGTCCAGACTTAACTGCTATATTCTGTTATTTTGTGAAATAAAGAGTAAAATTCTTGATTACGATAGCAAAAGGTGAAGTGAGCTGGTTGAGCCATTTCATTCAGTTTTAGCTGTTTAAGCAGACTGGCATGTCTGTTGACATAGTGACGTGGACAAAAGTATAATTTCAGAAATGCTGCAACACTGCCATGGTGGTAATACAATGAAAGCAGTGTTGAATTCATGCTTTATTGTACAAGAGCATAGATATTATCTGATACACCAGTATTTGTATCTCTAAGGGAGTCTCATAATATTGCTGCTTTTACATAAAAACAGTAGGTTTTAATTCACTGGGTAATGCTTAAGTATGAAACAAAGTCACATTCTATTCTCAGGCAGTATAGTCTGGTAACTAGTATTTTTGTAAATGCTCTTTGTAAAAATAGAAAAAAAAAACCTTGAAAAATTACAAGACCTGTTGTTTAGATTGAAATCATAATGAAAATTTATTTTTATGTTAGTGTATTGCTCTTAGTTGAATTGTCAATTCTTGAATTGTCATTCCTGTTGCTAATCTGAATCTTATTAAGATTTTTGCAACCACATAAATACCTGAATTTATAGCTTCAAAACAGATATATTTAAGGTAAGACATATCTGTAAAAATCATGTATGTTTACAGTTTAGTTTGGGAAGAGGGAGTTCCATAGATCTTAGTCATTGAATCATGGAATATGCTGAATTGGAAGAGACCCATAAGGATCATCGAGTCCAACTTCTGGCCCTTTGCAGGACACTCCAAGAGTCACACCATGTGCCTGAGAGTATTGTCCAAATTCTTCCTTAACTCTGTCAGGCTTGGTGTTATGGCTGCTTCCCTGGGGAGCATGTTCCTATGCAAGGAAAACCTTTTTCCTGATATGAAACCTAAACCTTCCTCGATGCAGCTTCATGCCATTTCTTTGAGTCCTGTCACTGGTCACGAGAGTGAAGAGATCTGTACCTGCACTCCTTGGAAGGAAGTTGTAAGACCACAATGAGGTCTCCTCTCAGTCTCCTCCAGGCTGAACAGACCAAGCAGACCTCAGCTGCTCCCTATGTGGCTTCCCATCAGGACCCTCTGATCTCTGATAGCTTAATGACTCTTGTTCAAGTTGCTGCTGTCCAGAGCCCCCAGGTCCCTTCCTGCAGTGCTGTCAACACCCCTCTGGCCATCCTGTCGATGCTCTCTGATAGCTTAATGACTCTTGTTCAAGTTGCTGCTGTCCAGAGCCCCCAGGTCCCTTCCTGCAGTGCTGCTCTCCAGTGTCTTGTTCCCTGATCTAGAGACAAAACCAGGATTGCTCCATCCCTGGTGCAGAACCCAGTGCTTGACCTTGTTAAACCTCATGTGGTTGATGGTTGCCCATCTCACCATTTTGTCAAGGCCTGTCTGCCCTTGAAGGAGTCAGCAGCTCCTCCCAAATGAGTGTTGCCACAAACTTACTTAGTATTCCTTCAAATCCTTTGTCCAAGTTGTTAATGAAGGCGTTGAAGAGATCTGGGATAAGGACGAGGCCCTACGAAACACCACTAGTGACTGGATAGATACCATGTCTGTATTATTTTCATTCCTCTGAAAAAGTATGTGGAATTTAATTCTATTTGCAAATCAAGCACTTTAAGTCACCCTAAGCCTCATTCCAAATTTATATTAAATTTAGGTGAGCTCAGAAGAAGATTGCTATCTCATGTTGCTTCCATTTAGCTAGTACTGTGAAGATTTCTTTACTATGAGGT